TGGCCCCAACCCATGACTTGCATGGACCAGACACACCAGGATCTGGAAATGCAACCTCTAGGGAACCCAGATATAGGGGAGCGAGATGCAGGAAAGAGGGAGAAGAGACATGTTTGGGAGGCTGAGACACATGAAGGCAGCTTGACTTTCCCATCTTAGAGTCACGTGGTCTGGCAGGTTACTCCACCGCCCTGACTCTCACTTTCCTCACCTGTAAAGTAGGCGTTTTCATGCCTTCCTCACAGTTAATAGGAAGAGGAAGTAGACATAACAGCCAAATGTAATGTATGAGACTTGATTAGATCCTGGTTTAAAAAATTGGAGAAATTTAAATATGACTTGTATATATCATCTAGCATGGACTAATTGCTCATTCCTTGGTGTGAGAATGACACTGTACTTAGGTAGAAACGTGTGTTCACAGAACATACATGATGAGTATTTTAAGGGTGAAATTTCTCCACGTCTGCAGTCCATGCAAATGTTTCATGGAAATAACCACAAAAGTATGTTTGCATGAAGATAAAGACAAAGCAAATATGGTGAAATGCTAACTGCTGAGTCTAAGTGGAGGGTATTCAAGTGTTTTTATTCTTTTAATTTTTCTTTCTTCCTTTGATTTTTAGAGAGAGTGGAAGGGAAAGGGAGAGACAGAGAGAGAGAAACACTGATGTGAGAGAGAGAGACACATCGATTGGTTGTCTCCCGCATGCACCCAGACCAGGGCCAGGGATCAAGCCTGCAATCAAGATATGGCCCTGGACTGGAATCAAACCCAGGACCCTTCAGTCCGAGGGCCAGTGCTCTATCCATTGAGCCAAGCTGGCTAGGGCTCCTTTCATTTTTCTTAATGCTTAATATCTGTCAAATAAAAATTGAGGGAGAGAAATAATAAAGACAAGGTATGTCAAGCACCCCCACAGTGCCCTCTTCAGCAGTTTTTATTTCACAAATATTCACTGAGCCACGGGGGTGACCAGCCAAGAACCAGGGATGGGCATGCCAGATACCATTCTGTTCTGGAGCTACAGTAATGCTTTCTAGAGGGCCAGAGACAAACATTAAATAACAAGACACATATGTGCACAGGTGGCTGAAAACAGTGCTGAGCGCTATGAAGACAGTCCCCACGTGAGGGACGGGGAGCTGGGGGTGAGAGTGCCATCCTGGCTTGGGTGCCCCTGAGTCTCTGAGCAGATGGAATGTGAGGATGGACTGACCGTGCCAGGGAGCTGGCCATGCAGAAACCCCCATCCTCCTCGTTATCTGTGTCCAGGGGCCCTAGAAGATTCCAAATGCCAGGGGTGGGCATGTTTGTTTCCTCTTTGGAGCAGCCAGCCATGGTGTAGTTTATGCTCTTAGAATGCTTTGGTCTGTTTAGACAGGCCAGATACCATCACCTCCCTGGACCAGTGAACCCTGGTTCCTACTGAACCACTTCCTGGAACCAGCTGGTGACCTGGAGGAGGCCAGTGGCCCTCCACACAGCCCTGAGACTGGCAAAGACCCTTCTCATAACACAGTTAACAAATGAAAAGAACTTCAACCTCATTTATAATTAAAAAATGCAAGTTGAGCCATAACCAGTTTGGCTCAGTGGATAGAGCGTCGGACTGTGGACTGAAGGGTCCCAGGTTCGATTCCGGTCAAGGGCATGTACCTTGGTTGCGGGCACATCCTCAGTAGGAGCTGTGCAGGAGGCAGCTGATCGATGTTTCTCTCTCAGCGATGTTTCTAACTCTCTATCCCTCTCCCTTCCTCTCTGTAAAAAAATCAATAAAATATATTTTTTTAAAAATGCAAGTTGAAATTTCATATTTTCACCCACCAGATTGGGAAAGACTAAGAGACTGATAATTTCAAGTGCTGGTGAGGCTGTGGGGAGCCACCCGCTCTCTTATGAGTAATTGGGTCATTGTGGCATTGTCTGTCGGAGCACCCTTTGGCTGAGCAGTTCCATTTTAATTAATCTATTCTGAAAATAGCATCAGAGATGTGATTTTTTTAAAAAAAAATGTGCAAGAATGGTCACTGAATTATAACTGTGGCATTTGCAGCACTGCAGCAATTATGTCACCAATGGAAACAGCTCGAATGTGCACCAGAGGGAGACAGCTTAAATAAACTAGGTCTAGGTTACATGTCATCATGAGGGAAGTTTTGGAAATAAAAAATATCTACATATCATAACAATAGAGGTCAGGGTGTGCATAGAGGAAGAGCCAGGAGAGTGTACGCCCAAACATTCGTAATGGCGATCTCTGAGGCATGAAGTACTGGGGACCTTCACTTTCCGCAGTGTGCGTTTCTGTAATATTTAACTTCTGAATCACAGGCATGTATTGCTGTTGTGGTAGAAAGGGGGTTTTAAAGTGAGAGGGAAGGATGGAAGAAAGGACTGCAGTACTTACTTGTTCTTTTTGGCTAGCCAGGGTCTGAACCCCCTTGACACATTTGGGCGATTCACCTGCGTTAGGGTTCACCACCATGGAAGTTGTAAATGGCCTTGGAAGTTGTGATGCCAGGGCCCCTGTGGCTCTGCCATGGAAGGCACGATGGAGACTGCTGCGAAGCCCGGTGCTCATCCCCGAGAGAGCCCCGTGGGGCCCAAGGCAGTGGTGGTTGGACTTGGGGTTTTTCCACTGGCAATCAGAGTGGTGAACGTCATGCTAACTTAAAGCAGAAAAGCCCTGCCCGGGTAGCTCAGTTGGTTAGAGCATCATCCCAATATGCCAAGGTTGCAGGATAGATCTCCCGTCACTACACATACAGAATCAACCAATGAATGCATAAATAAGTGAAAAAAGAAATCAGTGTCTCTCTGTCTCTCTCTCTCTCTTTTCCTCTCTCTCTCAACTCAATAAATAAAGAAGCCCTGGCCAGTGTTGGCTAAATGGTTAGAGCATCAGCCCACACATGGAGGGTTGAAGGCTTGATTCCGGGTCAAGGGCTCATATCTGGGCTGCAGGTTTGATCCCCTGCATGTGGGAGTCAACCAATCGATGTTTCTCTCTCTCTTAATCTGTCCCTCCCTTCCTTCCACTCTCTAAAAATCAGTGGAAAAAATATCTTCCAGTCAGTATTAACCAAAAACTAACAAACAAATAAGGTAAAGAGGGTAGGGTCCTAGAAATCCAGAGTTGAACAAGCAATCTTTTTTTTTTTTTTAGACCGGGAGGAGAGGGAGAGAGAGAGAGAAACATTACTGTGATCGGCTGCCTCCTGCAGGCCCTCTAACTCAGGCATGTGCCCTGACCAGGAATGGAACCCACGACTTCTTGATGCACCAGAGGATGCCCATCCAACTGAGCCACGCCGAAAAGGGCTAAACAAGCAATCTTTAGGAAGGGCTGAAACTAGAGAGACTCCAGGGACCCGGGGACAGTTTGTGGGCCTCCTCTCCAGAGAGCTGTCCTATTGAGACTTGTGACAACTTCCACCTTTGGTATCTCACTCAGAGCAAGTGCCAACTTCTCATGAGGGAGAATCTGGATGGCACAGCTGAGCCAGCGATGGTGAAGGGTGGGGGTGCGGAGACCACCTGAGTCCGGAGAGTGGTCCCAGGGCAGGCAGCCATCTGGACAGGTGACGCCTAGGGCTCCCATAACGAACGGAATGACTGAAAAGACAGAAATGTACTTTCTCACAGTTCAGAGGCTGGAAGTTCAAGATCAAGGTGTCCGCCAGACTGGTTCTTTCTGAGGGCTCCAAGGGGGAATCTGATTCATGCCTCTCCAGAGGTTCCTGGGGTAGGGTGGCCAGAGTTAGCAAATAAGAATATAGGAGACAGATTAAATTCTAGATAACAATTTTAAAATATAAGTGTATCCCACACAACACTTAGGACATACTTATAAACACACACACACCCTCTTGTTTATCTGAAATTTAGATTTAGCAGATTGGCTTGCATTTTATCTGCCAATCCTACCCTGGGGCACTTGATAAAAATACCACTGACCTCATCCCCTTGTGAGATTCAGTAGGACTAGGTGGAGCCCAGCCAGGAATTTGTTATTATTTTTTTAATGGCGTTCAGCTCACTGGCAGGGTTGGGAAACCTGTATTCCAGCACACCAGAGAAGCAGGGATTTTAGGGGAATATAGGCAGGCGAAGGGAATTTTTAGAATCGGGGACCATGGAAAAACACAGGGCTACAGATTGGGAGAAGGTACATCTCCATAACACAAGGAAGCAAGGTGCAGAGAGCAGCAACAGTTACATTTACATAAACAAGGGAGCTGGAAGTAGCCAAAAAGGTCTATAATATTTACAAAATAAAGAAGAAGGAAGAAAGCCAGAAAGAAAAGAACAATGAGGGAGGAGGGTATCACACGTCCCTTGTGGTGTTTGACCTTTGAGTTCAGGAGTTACTATAGTAACCAGTCTAAGGGAATAAGTGACCAATCAGAGGGGATACCAAGGCACCAGGATCTGCAGCCTTCATGAGCCATAGGAAAAAGGAATTCAGTGGGACCCTTTCCCCCTCCCCATGTGGGAGTCTGTACTTGTTCTTCAATAAATCTCCACCTTTGCTATACTACTCTCTGTCCGTGGATTCATTCTTCGACTCTGGCAGACAAAGAATCGTTCCAGTCCAAAAATTCTGTTTCACCAGGCTGGCAGGGAACCAGCTCCTGCCACCATGAAAAGACACATTTTGCCCTGACCGGTTTGGCTCAGTGGATAGAGCGTCGGCCTACGGACTGAAGGGTCCCAGGTTCGATTCCAGTCAAGGGCATGTACCTGGGTTGCGGGCACATCCCCAGTAGGGAGTGTGCAGGAGGCAGCTGATCGGTGTTTCTCTCTCATCGATGTTTCTAACGCTCTATCCCTCTCCCTTCCTCTCTGTAAAATATCAATAATATATATAAAGAAAAGACACATTTTCATTCCTCAGTCTTTAAGGGGCGAGCTAGCAGGAGTCAGGCCCCCAGAGCAGCTGTCCCTGGGACTGTGCGGGAGGGTGTCGGGGAGTCCTCTCAGCTGTGGCGCCCCTCCTCTCACTACATTGTCGGGACAACCCGCTCGGCTGCTTTTCCGCAGGCCGCCCCATTTCTTTTTCTTTATTCTTGTTCTTTCGCCCCATTTCTTTTGGAGCCCCTGGTTTTTCTGGGGTCTGCGGATCTCCGCAAGACTTGACCAACCCTCCCCGCCCAAATTGTAACTTTCCAAATCCGCCGGAGGCTGAGGGCTGGGGTGGGAGAGGAAGTGCGTGGGACTCAGCACAAAGAAGAGCGAAGAGGCAGGCGGGGCTCCGGGTTCTCCCTGAAAGCTGCTCCCAGACCTTCCCCGGAAAACCGCGCACCCAGGCCCTTCCGGCCCGCACTCCCCGCTGCCTGGCGAAGGAAGGGCCGGGGGCCTGGAGGGGCGTGGCCACCCCAACTGCGGCCAGTCCCCGAGGGGAGCGGGTTGGAGGGTGGGGCACCCCGGGAGGGGCGTGGTTCGACAACTTCAGCCGCTCAGCTGGACCAATCCCGACCCGGGAGGCGAAACGGACCCCTACCTGGGCCCAGGTGAGCTGCACCGTGCGTCTCGGTGGCTCCGCGCTCGGGATGGAGGGAGCCCGGGCGGCATCCAGAGGAGACCAAGCCGGGGCCGAGTTGCCAATGGAGCCCTTGGAAAGCCAGGTGCCGGGGCTGGCGCAGGCCCCCGCGGAGGAGCGACGGCCAGAAAGTCCCGAGAGCAGCCCGGCCGCGGCCGTGCTGGAGGCGACCGGCGTGTTCCAGGACCCCTCGTTGGGAAGAAGCTGCTCTCGCCTCACCCCGGCGCCCGGGGTGCTGCCCCGCCAGCCTGGGCTACGTCGCTTTTCCGCGCCAGTTGCCGCTGGCCCCGAGCTGCGGTCGTCGTTGCCCGTTTTGGCTTTAGATCTCGGACGTTGATGCGGCGGGAGCGGAGCTGGTTCCCTGGGCCGAGCC